CGTCATCTACACCTCAATGCAGCATCTGCGCCATACAGACATACATAACAATATTAATGGTTGACCCCTAAATATATGGGCCTAAACGTAGGCGTGAATTTGTTCAGTTGAAGCTGACGCCAACAACAAATAACAACCTGAGTTAACAGCATGACCCAGTGTTTAAGGTGCAGAAGCTGTCGCCAACACAACAAACACACCCTGAGTTAACGAGCTGCATGACCCAGTGTTTATAGTAGCTGTCGCCAACACAACAAACCACACTCCTGAGTTAACGAGCTGCACCCAATGTTTATGTAGAAGCTGTCGCCAACACAACAACCACACCCTGAGTTAACGACGCTGCATGACCCAGTGTTTAAGGTGTAGAAGCTGTCGCCAACACAACAACCACAACTCTGAGCCAACGAGCTGCATGACCCAGGTTTATGTGTAGAAGCTGTCGCCAACACAGCAACCACACCTTGAGCTAACGAGCTGCATGACCCAGTGTTTGTAGAAAGCTGTCGCCACAACACAACAACCACACACCCTGAGCTAAATGCATGACCCAGTGTTCATGTAGCTGTCGCCAACACAAACAACCACACCCCTGTTAACGAGCTGCATGACCGACAGGTTTAAGGTGTAGAAGCTGTCGCCAACAACAGCAACCACAACCTGAGCTAACGAGCTGCATGACCCAGTGTTCAAGGTAGAAGCCGTCCCAACACAACAACCACACCCTAAGTTAATAACGAGCGCATGACCCAGTGTTTGCAGAAGCTGTCGCCAACACAACAACCACACACCCTGTTAACGAGCTGCATGACCCAGTGTTTAAGGTAGAAGCTGTCTCCAACACAACAACCACACCCTAAGTTAACGAGCTGCATGACCAGTGTTGGTGTAGAAGCTGTCGCCAACACAACAACCACACCCCTGAGTTAACGAGCTGCATGACCCAATGTTTACAGGTGTAGAAGCTGCTCAACACAACAACCACACAATCTAAGTAACGAGCCAAAGACCCAGTATTTATGGTGACAGGGTGAGGGACAGGTGTAGTAGACAGGTGAGGTGGACAGGTGAGGTGGACAGGTGAGGTGGACAGGTGTAGTAGACAGGTGGGTGGACAGGTGAGGTGGACAGGTAAGGTGGACAAATAAGTTCAAGGTTGTCACATCGAAATCAACAACCTTACTGAATCGACGAGTTTGTTGAGCTAGTTGACGATTTATCCCTCTCTCTCTCACAGGAAATAAACTATATACTTGCGTGTCTCTCATGATGACGTCATACCTGAGAAAGAAAAAAATACAATATTAAAATCGAAATACCAATAATAGTGATATATTCTCCATCCACATTATCATCCACTTCACCTGTACCTGTGGGATGTGGATGGTATAGGTGGAAACATTGAGTTATTATCCCGTCAACCACTTCACCTGTACCTGCGGGATGTGGATGGTATTGGTGGAAACATTGAGTTATTATCCCATCATCCACTTCACCTGTACCTGCGGGATGTGGATGGTATAGGTGGAAACATTGAGGTATTATCCCGTCAGCCACTTCACCTGTACCTGCGGGATGTGGATGGTATAGGTGGAAACATTGAGTTATTATCCCGTCAACCATAACAGATCAATCTATACTGAGTGTTGTTATCATGGTCTCTGCTGCCGGGATTTTATTTATTATTTATAATTTTTTTATTATGAAAAACGAAATTGACTAAAAAAAGACAAACCAAATTAATAACAAGACATAATTAGTTACTTATTCAATTAAAATACTGAAACTTTTACTTGATGTTTAACTTAACTGTGGGAATAAGACTGACGGTACGAATATATATATATATATACTGTATATATGTTTTTGTTTATTAATACATAAATTTATGGCAAAAACACCTGTATAAGCGTCCATACATACATACATACATACATACATGAGTTAAGGCTCATGGTATCGAGGGAAACGTTATAAATTGGATAAAATCGTGGCTCATCGATAGAACACAGAGGGTCAGCGTAGATGGTGTTAAATCTGAGTGGGGTCGTGTAACCAGTGGGGTTCCCCAGGGGTCAGTACTAGGCCCACTCTTGTTCATAATCTACATAAACGATCTAGATACTGGGATCAGCAGTGACATAAGCAAGTTTGCGGATGACACCAAAATAGGGCGGCAGATTAATTCAGGGCAGGATGCAAATGCACTACAGGATGATTTAGATAAACCGCAGGAGTGGTCAGAAAAATGGCAAATGAAATTTAACACCAGCAAGTGCAGCGTACTTAATATTGGAAGAACAAATACTGTCAATGTATACAGCCTTAACAACATCAACCTAGAGAAGTCGACTTGTGAAAGAGACTTAGGGGTACTTGTAAGCCCGGACCTACGGCCTAGAAAACAGTGCGTTAATGTTCGAAATAAGGCAAACAGAGTATTGGGTTTTATATCTAGAAGTGTAACAAGAGTGCAGAGGTCTTATTGCAACTATATCTTGCGCTAGTCAGGCCGCACCTCGATTATGCGGTTCAGTTCTGGTGCCCTTATTATAGAATGGATATCAATTCACTAGAGTCGGTGCAGCGAAGAATGACAAAAATGATTCCGGGACTTAGAAACCTTCCATATCAGGATAGTTAAAGAAACTAAACTTGCATTCCCTAGAAAGACGAAGAGTGCGGGGAGATATGATAGAAGTATTTAAGTGGGTGAAAGGAATCAATAAAGGGGATATAGATAAAGTTCTTATAATATCCGAGCAGGATAGGACTCGGAGCAACGGATTTAAGTTGGGTAAGTTTAGGTTTAGGAGGGAGATAGGAAGAAACTGGTTCACAAATAGGGTGGTGGACGAGTGGAACAAGCTTAGCAACTTTGAAGTAAGTGCTGGAACGCTGGAAAGTTTCAAAAGGAGGCTAGATAGATTCATGGATGATAGAGAGTGGTAGTAACTCTCGACAGGAGCTGCCATGCACAGGCCAACCGGCCTATTGCAGACTTCTTATGTTCTTATGTTCTTATGATAACGGCCCGTGAGACTCAACAACACCAGCTATGTGTTAATCCGTCCACGATAGGGAGGCCTGCGACCACACCTCACACCTGTGACACCAGACCACGTGGTGTCCCCATGATGCTACGACACCACGTAGTGAATGAGTTGATACAGCATCATGTGAGGCCCCTCATAACACCATCTGTGAAGGAATTACTACACCATGTCAGGTCCCTCATAACACCATCTGTGAGGGAATTACTACACCATGTCAGGTCCCTCATAACACCATCTGTGAGGGAATTACTACACACACACACACACACACACACACACACACACATAAGAATGGAGGAAACTGCAGCGGGCCATACTGGACAGTCCCGTTTACACCCAACCCCTATCACTCATATATCCACCCAACCTGTGTTTGAAGCTGTCCAGCGTATTAGAGTTAATGATGATGTTTGGTAACTTGTTCCACTCATCCACTACTCTGTTTCCAAACCAGTGTTTACCTATCTCGCGCCTAAATCTAAATTTGTTTAATTTAAAACCATTGTTACGAGTTCGCTCCTGGTTGGATAGTTTGAGTACCTTTGTTATGTCACCTTTGTTTAACCCTGACTTCCATTTATACACCTCTATCAGGTCGCCCCTCACTCTACGTCTCTCGAGGGAGTGCAAATTAAGATGCTTTAACCTGTCTCCGTACTCAAGGTTCCTAATGCCCAGGATTAGTCTTGTCATTCTCCTCTGGATTCTTTCCAAGGATTCTATATCCATTCTGTAATACGGTGTGTGTGTGTGTGTGTGTGTGTGTGTGTGTGTTGTAGGGGGGATGTTTTATGACACCTGCCTATGGGATGGTGTTGTGTTGGCACCCCTGCCTATGGGATGGTGTTGTGTTGGCACCCCTGCCTGGTATGGTGTTGTGTTGGCACCCCTGCCTGGTATGGTGTTGTGTTGGCACCCCTGCCTGGGATGCTTCTGATTATGTCGTGTTGGCAGCCGTGACTCGGTTAGTTAAAGTTGTCTCACGTGGCTTACATTGTGTCGTTGTGTTGGCAGCCCCGTATAGGATCGAATTATGTTGGCACCCATGTCTCACAAGGAGGGGGTAGTTATGTTGGCACCCATGACTCACCCAACTCACAAGGGGGGGGGGTAGTTATGTTGGCAAGCGTGACTCAATGGTGTGCAGGAGATTATGTTGATGACTTTCCGCTTAGTTTCAGTGTCCTCCTTGTCCGTGTCGGGGGAGGACGTCAAGTGTCACAGCTGAATACAGACACACATACTACATACTGACCTCATGCCATAGTAACATTTCTATAGGGTTTAATTCTATAATTCTTTCCATTTATTCTATAGTAAAGATTTTATAGATATCTATATTTTGATCACCTGAAGATTACACACCCTAGCTTATTTCACCTTAGGTTACGGTCTGTCTGTCTGTCTGTCTGTCTGTCTGTCTGTGTCTATATCCGGCCGTCTGTCTCTCTCTATCTGGCCACCGCCTACACCGCCTCCTACAGGTATACCTCCCCCTCACTAGTTGGTCACCACCCGTGTTAACACAGAGCCTCCCAGAGGTGATCAGCTGTGGAAGGTTTTAAAGCTTTTACTATTAATATAAATGTATGGGATTAATGTTCACTACAGCCGCTTAATGTACTGTACATCAGTTTAATGTACTGTACATGATGGTGATGGTGATGATGGTGATGATGGTGTGTGTGTGTGTGTGTGTGTGCACAAAGGGCCTCTAACAGAGTGTGTTAAAGACCCTCAACAGTTATTCATTAAGTTATAGCAGCAGCTGTAAGTCTGTCAGCTGTGGACGCAAACTGGTTTCTAAAGGGCGGCTTGAAGCACTGTGTGTGTGAGGGTCCCTGGCAGCCTTTGAGACCTCTGGGCAAACTACCTGGTAGTGGACAGGTGTGTGTATACTACCTGGTAGTTTGGTGGACGCCTAAAAGCACCTGTCAGGCTTACCTGTAGCCGGGGGGGGCGGTGCAGGGGAGACAGCTACGCCAGACCGACACCTGTGGGGGCTCTGGCCGCCGTAGTGAGGCCCTCCGTTTGTATAAACTCCGCCGACGAAGTTTTGAATTCTCTAGGGCCTCCATCAGGGACGTCTTCTTGCCGAAGGCCGTGATGGCGGTGAAGTTGTTGGAGGACGGGCGGCGGCTCTCCGTCAGCCCCTGCAGGGAGGTGACAGCTCTGTGTGACGGGGTGGGTGACTCGAAGCTCGTGGAGGTGTTGTTGACGAAGGTGACGACCCGGTGTGTGGGCGTGGACGGCTCGGAGCCACTGTCGGCGAGGAGGCCCCGCCGACTACTGCTGCGGGAGCTGCTCAGGTCACTACAGCTACAACCGCCGCCGCCATTACCGCCTCTCCACGCCATGGTCACCTCACACACCGACGGTCGAATCAGATTGCTAGAAGTCCTGAGGATGTGTTTAGGGGAGCCTGCAGGTAACACCTCGGGGGGCTGAAGGGTGAGACTCCCGTAACTGACCTGTCTGTCAGAGGTCTTCCTGTGTCGAGGGATGAAGCCCGTCACCTCCTCCTGTAGTCAACGTCTCCTCTACAAGTTGAAGACCTCCACACACCCCCTGGCGTGATAACTTCTTCTCGATGGTAGCTTCTGCGTCTGGCGAGGAAGTTAACGCCTCCCACACCCAGACACTTATATAAGGCGGTCACTTCCCACTCCTTTACTTCCCTCTCTACTCCACTCTTCCCACTCCTTTACTTCCCTCTCTACTCCACTCTTCCCACTCCTTTACTTCCCTCTCTACTCCACACGTACAGTACAAACCGTCTCCCTTATCACATTACCAAGGCTTCAACAGGTACAGACAGGTATACTGTTATCAGGGTCCTCTTAACAAAGTCCTCAGCATCACTAGGTTAGGTTAGGTTAGGTTAGGTTAGGTTAGGTTAGGTTAGGTTAGGTTAGGTTAGGTTAGGTTCGGTTAGGTTAGGTTAGGTTCTCTGTAATCGAGACGTACTGTAAGTTGATCAAGAACCTCCCAGATGATTCACTTAGTTAGATATGTTGTCTTGGCCTCCCCAGCTGAGGCCAAGTGAGAGGTCTTGCTAAACACTTCTCCTACACTATCCATTATGTGAACTATTTATTAGTGTTTGTTTACAGTCTATGGTATTGTAAACAAGTACACTATTACAGTTATTATTTCCTGTTTGATCCTGAAATATTAATGAACTAGAGATACAGGTACAAATACAGGTACAAAAGGTGTATAATTAATGATGTGTATATTACGATATGTATGTATATGTATACTTCATTATTTGTATGCACACACATATACACACACATTGTCTCACTGTTCAGTCCCCAAAACTTCTTCTTCCATCAATAGTTCATTAACGGTGTATGTAAGTTCCACCATGTTTTTCACTACAGCGGTACAGCAAAGTATAATTTTTATCATTAAACTGTTATTATTTTATTGTCTAATCATCACTACATATAACACCATCCATCATCACTACATATAACACCATCCATTATCACTACATATAACACCATCCATCATCACTACATATAACACCATCCATCATCACTACATATAACACCACCCATCATCACTACATATAACACCATCCATCATCACTACATATAACACCATCCATCATCACTACATATAACACCATCATCATCACTACATATAACATTCATAACATCATCATCCATCATCACTACATATAACACCATCCATCATCACTCATATAACACCATCCATCATCACTACATATAACACCATCCATCCATCATATAACACCATCCATCATCATACATATAACACCATCCATCATCACTACATATAACACCATCCATCATCACTACATATAACACCACCCATCATCACTACATATAACACCACCCATCATCACTACAGATCGGTAAAGTAGTTTCCGACACACACACACACACACACACACATACACACACACACACACACACACACACACACACACACACACACACACTTCTTTGTTTTATATTTATAGAAGATATACATAAATTTATATAAACAGATTAATGTCTTGGTAAATAAGGTAATATAAGAATAAATTCCCTGTTATATTATTTTATAGCAATTTATTCAGGTTGTTTTATCTGTAATTAATTAACGGTTAACAGGTGAGGTTGTTAACTTTATTTTCGTTAACGGGTTAAAATTCACCCAAACTCTAATATTTTAACAATTCTAATACAAAAAAAAATTACGATTATTTTTTTAATTCCGTAAAATAAATATCCATCAGAATAAACCCATAACGATTTATGAGTTACTTAAAAAAGTCTTTGAAAATATTTAAGAATATTTATAAGTAATCCTACAAAAAACAATTGGGAAAAAATTAAAAAACTATTTATGAGAAATTTTTTAAGAGAAAATAGTTTTATGAGTGCTGTTACCTGGTCGACCCCCTCAGGTAGACGGTATGAGGTCATTA